TTATTTTTAACAATGCTAAATTTATACTGGTTAGAATTGAAAACGCCAGTTATAATTTTTAAGTTTTACTTCATTAATAATGATAAATAAAATATAAGCACAAAAACTATACTTATAACAATTTGGAATGATAATTATGTAATTTTTATTTCTATATGACTTTGTAACAAAACACAACGTGTATTTTATAATATGAAGAATAATCCATAGATTTAAATATCGACATATATAATACATATAAATATATAGATATTATTAATGTGCTACTTTCACACCATTACACATTTCAATAATCTATTCTAATAATTAAATCCAAGATTTTTTTACCACTAAATTAACTATAATATAATATTTTACCTATGGTCATTAATAGTAAAAGAAGTTTAAAAATCAAAATTATTTACAATATTTTCGTTTCACGTTCACGATCAATAGGTAGGTACGTCCAAGTAGCAAACAACAATCCGAAACGTTTATTTAACAATACATTTTAAAATGTCCAGTGAATAGGGATGAGAATTAAATAGATTGTTTTATTAATTTCCTATTAATGAGTTGTAGTAAGGGGCCCAATTTTTAATATTTGAGACCTACCTAGAAATTGAAACTTGTAATACCTTTCTAGGCAATAAACATTATCTACGACTTAAAAAAAACGTTACCTAGATAATTAGGTCTTTGGTCGTGCTGCTATATAATTACTAATCTCAATAATAAATCAGGGTTATTATGGAATTGACGTTTTGGATAGTCGAATGTGTTGCTACTTAGACGATTCGATCGAAGTATTATAGGTAAGTATATTTAATTAATTTCTATAAACAACTTGATTTTTTAAATAGCTTTTTGGTTAAGTAAAGTAACATGAATAGTAAAATAAATTAGCAAACTATAAGAATTCCAAGAAAAATGTATCTAAAATTTTTAAATATGTCAACAAGTAAAACTTTATAACGGTTCTCTATGAAATTGAATATTAAAATGTAATATTTATAGTTTTATTTTTGAGCAAATATACTTTCATCAAAATGAATACGAGTACATTACTACAACTTACTAAAACTTAATAATTAACATTAAAAAAAGAAGAAAAACACTTATTTGAAATCTTATTCTAAATTATACACGTACATTGAAATAGTGATTGATATTCATATAGTAAAAGTCAACTACTTTTTTTTTAATAATCTGTACAGCAATGCAATTGCCCATCATTTTTAAGAGGCATAAGTAATTAAACAAAGAGGCGACAGCTTTACGACAACTATGTGCACAAAAATATACCTAAAAGGTGCGCGTGTTATAATTTACACTTTTTCAGAATATAAATGTTTTCTGCTTAATAATCTCTTGTAAAATCGGAATGAATACACAAAAATAGCTCCAACTTAACTAAGTTATTGTCGAAAAAATTTACATTATTTACTGTTTATTCAGAAAATGAGTACATCTATAGGTACTATATAAAATAAACTTGCATTTTACATTAAAAAAAAGCTTTTGCCGCCTCGTTGAAATGTGGAAAATATGAAGAAGAGGTAGGGGATAATACTGCCAGAAATATCCACGTAAAGTTTCCACGGAAATTTCAAATTTGTTACTTATTTTTTTTTGTTACTTATTTGTTATTGTGATGAAATAATTAATCGTCATCGGTTTGCATTGTAGGCAGCAATATTTTACTGTTTATTAAGTTAAATACTTATATCATTTTATCTTCAATGGCACTATCTATAATACATAATATGCTAATTAACTTCATTGTTCATGGCAAATATAATATATAAGTAAGAATAATTACATGAATTATTATATGAACTATAAAGAGGAAAATACTACAGTGATCCTTGCAACCCTGTGAATTCTAAACCTGTCAAATAGTATGCAATAAACCGTTATGAATCCAAGAAACACAGATGGCTCAAAAAACGACAGGTTACTATAAAACAATGCTGAGTTAAGATCATTAAGCATCAACTTTAATTTCTTAAATATGTAATTTAAAGTCTCTTTTCTTCCGAATTTTAATTTGTAGAAGGCAAGAGTTTCAAATAGTAATATAAATTATGATACTGATAACACTAGGTATTTTAAACATATTTCTGTATTTTAGACCATAATATTTTAGCTACTTTTATCAAGACATGTAAATGTTTATTGAAGCAACAAAAGTAAAAATTTAGTTTTTCTTAACATAATTCAAGTTTAGGGGAAGGGAGTGTCAAAAAACAAGGGTTTAATAAAAAAATGTACCCCTTTTAAAATATGTACAGAGTAAAATACTTCACTTGTCTAATGTCTCGATGTACTGGGGATATCCTCAAAATTGATGATATCGCAAAATTGTAAGAATATTTATTACCTTTATAACTAGAGAACTATTGTAACAGAAAAAATAAAACATTGAACAAGCAATCATTTTCCATCTGTGATTCTTAGGTTATCAAACGGATTAAGGATTTAAAGTATACTTTAAATAGAAGAAATCTTAAATTTAAATTTAGAAGACCTACAGTACTCTCTAATGAATTACATTAATATTTCTTGTAAATTATCGACTAATGTATATGTATGTACAAGATTCCAAAATTTTAAAGGTGTTTCGATACGTGATGTTAATAATCGTATTAGGAAAACTTCCGCAAGCAATCTTTGGCACACATTATATTGAGCGATTTTGTACCAAATAAAAAATGCAAGCTATTAAATTCACTATCAGTACTTACTTTTTCAAAACAAAACTAAAAAAAAAAAATTTATCACAATTGACTACATAAATATTCTAATACTATTTGTTGGTATAAGTAACGTGGCGTCTGCCTTTTGAAAATTGTACTACGTAAACTACGTTTAATTAAAAAATCTATTCACTAATAAAAACTAATAATTCGTTTGGAATTTATGTGGTTATTAAATGTTTAACACGTTATCGATACGTGATTATAGTTTCATCATATATTTCGTCATAACTGGGTTGGTTCTGTCTTCATAACTGGTTTTTAAAAATAACTTTTCAGTAATTTTTAATATTTAAATGTCTTAATTATGTCATCCTTTTGTAAGCAATATTTTAACAATATTCTAACTCGGAAATAACTATCTATTAGGTGATCAATCAAAAATTGTTTATGTTACAAACTAGCTTTAGGTCAATGATGTTTAAAACTATAGATATGTTACGCAGAGCAAAATTACAGTCGAAACTCTTTGTTACGCGCTACTTTAATGTACTAAAAAATATAGGTACTTCAGAATTCCTTTATAAACAAATAATTAAATACCTATTGACATTTTTCTATCACGAATATACAAATTAATACGTTGCTAGGCTATGACATTAGTTACATTTTCAACTAAACATATTTTTTACTATTGTAAGTTAGTGCTTGACTGCTATCGCATCTGATGGTAAGTGGTGATGCAGCCGAAAATGGTAAAGTGTATTTGACTTACCTTAACAAAAGCCTAATCGGATGGATAGACAGATGTTGGCAAATAATTCCACTCTTTTGCTACAATATACATTGTTGTACATATCTATACATTTTAAACATCACTGCTTAAAGTAGTTCAATCATCGTTCGAAGAATGGGGTACAGGTTCCATATTGTCCATTCGTAAGCGTCATCTCAGGTAAAGGATCAGAGTTTGATCTTGTGTGATCTGCAGGTTTTCTGGCGTTTACGTTGCGATTAACACCGAATCATTCATCCGTTCTATTTATAAGAATGATTATTTATAAGAAAATGTTTAAAGGTGCGGGATTGTAAATAGATGTGAGCCAAGAAACATTTAAAAATACGATTTGTTGATTTTTTTTAAAGTAAACATGTAATATAATTAAGACTTTAAGGTATTTTTAACAAGGAGAAAGACTTATAACCCACATAGAAATTTATAGAAGTACTTTTAGACTTTCTATATTAATATATGCAAACAATTATTTTGAGCTTCAGATTGCCGTTTCGTATTTTTTACGTATTTTTAAAAATCATTTCATTATAATTTGTAGTCATCAGTAATTAACAATAACAAAAGATCCAAAGTAAAAAATTACACATTAAATCGCGTTCCCGTCGATTTCTTTGCAACTCTCAAAGTTACCAAGTGTAATACCAACATTTATTTGTGTTCCTTGAATTTTTTTTTAATATTTCAGAAGTATAAACTTATTCCACGCATCCCTTGACCACTTACATATGATATGTGAATCAATAACCTTCATTTCCTACCGCGATTCTCAAAATACTTACTTCACAAAAAGTGTTTCAAAACCATATATTCTTATTTTTTATTATTTTATTTGTGTTACTTGATGAACAGTAACGCGATTAATTTGGTTAAATAGTCGAAGCCAATCTTCTACAAAAGAATAATAGAAAAAAAATAAACATGCCATGGCCTATTTTTAAACGCACAAGTCGAAGAGTTGTAAGTGTACAAAATGTTTATAATAGCTGATACATAACAATATTATCAAGGAAAGACACCGTTTGTTGTGAAAAAGATTTCGGCGTGTAGACCTAGGCGAGATAGCCACTATGGTGCGTGAAGCTGCCTTTGCATTATCATAATCTATGCCCCGCCCACATCGGGTTACCGAAACATAATAAATTCGAAATTGTATCACCATTGACTCGTTTTGTTTTCCATCATATGTAAAACAAAACGAGTCAAAGAAAGTCACAAATGAAATTCAACATTAAATAAAACGTAATAAAGTCGAAATTGCAAACTAAGGTAGCATTAGTTGCTTCAGTAAACTCGAGTCAAATGCGCCAAATGCGACGCGCGTGTCTCTAATAAACCGAAATCTAAAGCACAACACAAGGTAATCAACGAATTAAGCACGGAAACTGTTACGTTACAAAAAGAAACAAGTAAAATCAATTCCCAAACAAAATTGAGCGTTCAAGCCCAAATTTAACAAACAAAAATCAACGTTCAAACTATAACAATAAAGTCGGAATTGCAAACGCTTACAAGTAGAAGTCGTTCGGTCAGTAGACCCAGGCGACGGGCACCCACTGCGGCGTGGAACGGAGACGCACGAGGGCCGCCTCTAGCTGTGCAAGCGTGTCGTCGATGTCGTTGTTCACGATGGTCAGGTCGAAGTAGTGTCCGTACGTGCGTCGTAGCTGTTCAGACTCGCGGACCAACACTTCCAGGGAACCATCGTACTGGAACAATACGACTGTAATTATGACCGCATCCGCATGCCTTAAGAGGATTGTGAAGTGCCAAAACGCGGCGTAGATAGGTATTTTCAAAAATGCTAACTGTTTCATAAGTATCGCCGTATCGTTAGAGATAGATAAAGAGTTGCAAGTCTTGGAGGCAATAGCCTACATTTCCTTTTTTTAAATATTGTTTCGGACGACTTACGTCTTCACCCCCGTAAACCTTTACGAAATGACACAATTTTTTATTCAATACACCTTAATCTAGATCTATACGTTTCTTTTTTAGTAATTCATTTAAGCTTAACTAAAAAAACACTCCAGGAAGGTTTTAAGGAAAAATATCAATTTTTAGATAATAATGATTTATATCGCACGCAATATTTCTTTAACATAAAAATGTACAGACCTAGTTTTTTATTACATCCACAATATTTCCAAAAATTATGAAAATTAGACTATGTTTACAGGGGAAAAACGCTATCGCACGCCCGCTCGAGCTGACGCGCGCCTTAAGTTAACATACAAATTATTTTTCTCTAATAAGTATTTAGGCACTTTTGATATTTATTTTGAGCTTTTATTCAAGTATGGCCTCAAAAAGCTAAAAGGTACTACATAGCATACGAGTGTTTAATTTTTTTTATTTTTTTATTTTATAGGATAAGGATGACAAACGAGCACACAGTCCACCTGATGGTAAGTGGTTGCTGCGGCCTATAGACATCTACATCTATCCTCTATTACAAATCAAAATTTAGATGCGTTGTCACCCGTGAGGACTAAGATGGAATGCCTCTTTTACAGTAAAAAGGGTATTATATTACTAACTGACCAGACAGACGTTGTTCTGCCCTCTCCGACGACCCTGTGTCCTATACAAATTCACTACTATTACACTACTAGACTATTTACACTACTAGACCGGCAATTAAGAACAAAAACTGTGTCTATGTGTAGCTGGCCATGAAATAAATTACAAATCACGTTATCAAAGTGTGCACATAAATAATGACAGCGGTTTCTTAGTCACTTTAATCAAAATCTTTGTAAGTTTGTCGAAAACAACGTTTGCGGTTTACAAAACAAAGAATTAATCTTCACGCCCGCTAGTAGTTGACTATAGTTACGGAGAATTGACCGTAACTTAGTGCATAACATATTAAGGCCGCAATCCCGTGTAATTGTATATAAAGAAGTATTTAGCTAACACTGAAACACACAAAGAAAGTTGTGTATATTTTTACGAAGGACGAGGCAATTTCCGACGCAGTTATGGCATATATCCACTTTTTAACTGCTGACTGGACTGCCTCAGAATGAAGGTAATGTTTCTCGAGGTTATGTACATGATCATCGTCATTACAGCCCTTCATAAGTCTACTGCTGAACATAGGCCTCCCCCGAGGAACGCCAAAAAGCACGGTCCTGAGCCACCTGCATCCATATACTTCCTGCATGTCTTACCAAGTCGTCACTCGTCTAGTGGGGGGTCGCCCTACACTTCGCCTACCGATACGAGTCTGCCACTCGGGAACGTTTTTCCACATCGGTTGTCGGTTCTTCGAGCTATATGGCTGGCTCATTGCCACTACATCTTCACTTACTAATCTGTTGGGCTATCTCGGTCATTGTACTGCGGACATTCTCATTTCTAATTTTATCACGCTGAGAAACCCCGAGCATAGCCCTCTTCATAGCTCGCTGAGCGACCTGGAGCTTCCTCATAAGGCCATCAGTGAAGAACCACGTCTCAAATCCATAAGTCATCACTGGTAACACTCACTGGTTCTACAATCTCGTTTTTAAGTTTTGAGATATACCTGACGAGAAGATGTGTCGTAATTTCCCGAACTCAGCCCAGCCAAGTTGAATCTATCGACTGACCTCTCGGTCGAAGTTGGACTTACCTAGTTGGACTATTTTTCCCAGGTAAACATACTCGTCAACAACTTCGAGCTTAGTGCTCCCAACAACTACCGGCATGGGTGTGACATGAAAGTTGTTGTTAATACCGTATCCTTTCCAGTCCAGAAGCTTGCAAACGTCTTTCAATGCAACGGTGAAGAGTTCCAGGGATATAATGTCACCCTGTTCTACAACTTTCTGCAGTTGGATAGGTTCCGTACTCTGATTCTGTATTCGGATATCCATTGTAGCCCTACTGTACAAATACTTCTGCACTTCGATATACCAACAATCAACTCGGCACCACTGAAGGGACTGGCAGCACCGCCCAAATTTCGACGAAATCAAAGGTTTTCTCATAGTCTACATACGCAAGACATAGTGGCAGATTGTACTCCTCGGTCTTCTGTACAATTTGCCGAAGTGTATGGGTAAGAGTATTTTGTCTATGGTGCTAAAGCCTTTTCTGAATCCGGCTTGTTCGGGAGGCTGGAAATCGTCGAGTCTGTGTGCGAGACGATTCGTAATGACTCTCGAAAACAGCACGTAGACGCGGCTCAGAAGGGAAATCGGTCTGTAGTTTTTCAAGAGAGCTTTGGCGCCTTTCTTGAAGAACAAGACCACCGTACTTCTGCTCCACTCCTCCGGAGTAGTGCCACCATGCAGGACAGAATAAAAGACTTTTTCAAGGACTTCAAGTACCGGTTTTCCACCCGCTTTCAGAAGCTCCGCTGTAATTCCACCCTAGCCCAGAGACTTGTCGTTTTAAAGGTGCTGGAGAGCCATTCTAATCTCGCTCAGACTAACGTCCAGAATATTATCGGAATAGTGTCGGATAAGACTTGCTCTAGGATCGTTACTCACTCTAGCGTGAGGCTCCAACGATGATGTGTACAGCTGCCCATAGAACCTCTCAATCTCACATTGAAAATCTCAAGTGTCCCCGAAACGATGCTGCACATTTGGTCTTTAGCTTCCACCGTTGGCTCTTTCTTTTACTTTGTTGACTACAACAAGTGTACAAGTTGACTTTAGAGCCCTGGTTCCGCTCTATCGCTTCTTAAGTACGAGCAGTATTAATTTAAGTAAGTCCCGCCGCATGCATTTGGAGATCTGTCTGTTCAGTTGCCTCTATGCTGTCAAATGTACTGAAGACTGCAGCTTCATTTCCCGTCTAACAGCCATGAGATTAAGAATGTGTTCGGAGAGTTTTTGTTTTCTTCTGCGGCGGGTCCTGCAGAACTTAGCTCTGACAGCATGGACAGTTTCCACGAGCAGCATATGTACATATCTTTTTAAGTATATATGTACATATGTCTATTTCTTTAGCACGCTCTCTAGCTTAAAGGGCTTCAGGGATTTTAAGAAATGAGGTATCGTTCGTTAGATTCGTTTTATTTCTAGAAATAACCTAAGATTATCAGTAGATTTTTTACGCCGTCGGTTTTTTTATAATTACTGTTTCGATAATCAGGCTTGTAAAGGCTTTTTGTGCAAATTTTTGGTCAGATATCATCGTTACATGCACGTTTTATACTCACGTCGGCCACGTTGTTGAGTGGTGGCGCGGCCACGAACACGACGTAAGGCGCGAACTCCGCCGAGCGTAAAACTTTGAGCGCCTGTGGCTCCACGTCGAGTATTGCGACCCGTCGTTCTGCGTGAATACGCCGGATCGTTTCAAGTTTCGTACCGTACATAGCATCCTCATGTGTACCTGTAACAAAAAAACAAAGTGGATATATATATATATATATATATATATATATATATATATATATATATAGTTTACGTTATTTAAATTATTTTAGTACAGTTCAGTACTTTTTGTTTTACAAAACAAAATGCAGCAACATTACTCTGTTAGTTTTCGGTTTATCGGACGCGCACTGACTAAGACACCATGGCGTTCCACCTTTGGCGGATACCGGTAGAGTTATGAAAATGCTTTTGCACACATCCGCAGCGTCCCCTTCTAAGGTCAGGACAACTCTTTCTCCTGTTCCGAGGTGCGATCGAACTTCTTAGATGTGATAGAACAAAACCAACAAAGAGTTGAAGGACCCTTTTTTATATTAAATTAGTTTGGTAATATGATGAAAGTTTTTATTTGAATATAAACTGTTCTTCTAATAATAAACCACTCTTCCCAACATATCGAAGTGTTACATAAGAAGTGGAACAGTAACGACAAAAGTATGCATTTTGTTAAGGTTCTCGACTACTTGACATACGCTGCTAATTACCAACAGCAAGCGTAAATTATAGTTAGAGAAAAATAAAAAGAAACATACCATTGTACGTTACAAGTAGTAATGAATATTATCAACTTACCGTATTCTAAATACTCATTGGCAGCAATGTCAGCCATCATTTCCTCGTGTGTCACGAAGTAGTAGTGTCGTCCATTCTCTTCGTCAGGTCTCGGAGGTCGGGTAGTATCTGAAAAGTGCAAGAATTATATTTAGTATTTTGTTTGGCAATATACAAAAACTCAAGTTCATCTTCCAAGATTAATTCAAATAACACATAAACATAATTTTTATTACCATAGCAGGGCTTTTCCAAGAATGAGCCTGCTAGTAATAAGCAATACTTGAAAGATTTGCCCATAAAGCCAATACTCACGCATAAGTAAGTATTACTTATGCTCCACGTGTAGGTCGTACGAACCACGTTCGCCAGTCAGCAGTTGCAGGTGACGTTGGCATTTGGAGAAAAGGTGATTTACTCCATGTTACATCCCTCTCCCCCTTCGAGCTAAATCATTATATCTAGTACCGATATAATGATTTAGCTCCAAGCACGTAATAATCCTTTTACAAAATCAAAGACATACTGAGAATGTAATCGTAGATAGATGTAGATCTATGGTTAATAGCGTTAAACTAACATCAAGTAAACACAAAAATTACCGTATAGTGGCCGTAAGAATATTCACTGTCCCATACCATCCCGTGGGTAGTGAAAGAGGTGACAGATACAATAAGTAAAAATAAAAAACTGCGGTTGCCAACTCGCTTGCCAAGCGTGTTATCTATGACAAATATCCCTCCGAGACAATCTACGGGGGAGGCCTATGTTCAGCAGTGGACTTTAATAGGCTGTAACGGTAACGGTAAACACAAAAAAGCCACCGTAACAAATGTAACCTTTATACGATAAAATTAGAAGTATTAAAATTTGAGTCTAACACATAATATGTTACACAAATTTTCACGGTATGAAATTTACATTTTTTAGCACAATGGAAGTTTGAACTCGGGTTCCGAGGCGCATAAAGCTAGGTACTGTGACCACTACATTATTATGTTGGTCATTTTAAAATGATGAAAATTCAAACTTATTAGCACCTTAAAAATATAAGAAACTTACGCGGTATTGGGTACGCATACTGGTCGGGATGGCGCGCTATCAGAGTATTCTTGATGTGACGCCTACCGACGCCGTGCGCCCCAAGGAGAACTATCGTTTTCCTTTGGAAAGCTGAAACGGTGAGAAACTTTTATAGTGCCTATATTATGATTTCTTAAAAAAACTCGAATACTACAATAATTAAAAAAAAACTAATAATGTTAATAGTACTAAATTTACATTTCATTTCTCCTCGCAACTTCTGGTGAATTCCAGCGATCATTGCCGGACATTGTCAGATCATTTGCTACATTTTCATGGGTTATTTGGAATTTGGTAATATATTATATATATTCCATAAAATTTATTGTTACTCCATTCCAGATATAATACATATTAAATGTTACTTATTTTACGGATTTTATTGCGTTTATGTAAAGCACCCAAAATATTGAGAATAAATGCCTATATTATTAGGAATTACCTAAAAATTAGTATAATTTATAACTTCAGTGTTTTTATTATAACTATCACAAAACTTTGAGGTGAGTTATTGGGGTACTTATGGTGTCACCTGGATAGTTCTTAGCTATAGTTGGGCTTGGTACTAGTGGTGTTGTCAACATCCAAAAATAATCCATGTAAAGCCGAAACGGATTGCCAGTCATATAGATGACGATTATTCGAGAAAAATAAATATAATAGTAATCATAGGCCCTTACGTGTATAGTAAGTACATATAATGAAACAAAATATATGGTTCGTGCATAGAATTTGAAATTACACTAATGTACTTACAAGGCAGTTTAACAACTTCTTCGTAGGTGACAACGTCGAGTTGGTCGAAAACTGCATTGTGTTTCGCCAAATATTTGTCCTTGGATTGTTTCTTTTTGCGTCCAAATATGGAACAATTTACTGTAACAAGCATTAGTTCATGAGTTTTGTTATATTGGTTACAATCACAAAATATTTATTACAATTTGGATTTGGAAATATACTTAAATATACTAGTCGTAAAATAATAAGTGCAGATTTTTTTAAATAAAAATTTAAAAAAGTGTAAGAAATTTAGAACTTTTTGGTAAAAATAATATAGAAATAGTATATAAAAACTAATCCATTCCGGCAAAGAGATGTAGCAATACTACTATGGGGCGATTTTGTAAAATTATATTAAAATTGTTATTTATATTTTACTTGCAAAAATACGAACAATAGCTGAAATATTCTGCGCTTGTTAAGTGGTGCTTTTAGCACAATTAAAAAATAAAAAGTCATGGTCTAATCACAAAATTATTATGTAATAGTTACTAAGATAGATAATAAATGCTATGAAATGCTTCAAATACGAATATAGTTGTGAATTTGAACGAATTAAGAACGAATTATGAGCACTCCAAAAATAAACTTGTAATTAAAGTTTGCTAAGGCGATATTACACGGATCAACCAAATTGAAACAATTCCATTCAAAAGCATTGAACATTGCACATTGAACGGCTTTACCAATATACACGTAAATCATTTAAATGACATTCAATGTTCACAGCGCAATGTGATGTCGCGCCAACTCGTACGTGCGGGAATTTCGTTAATCTGCGACTAAATTTAATAAATATGATAAATGAGTAATTAAAAATAATTTAAAAAAAACTCGCCGGCGGTGTCGAGTTTGGCTGTTTTTACAAACGTCTACCAAAGGAAAGAGGTCAAGAAGCGCGGGGCAAAATTTTGGTCGTTAGGTTTTTTTTTTCATTTTGACGGGATATCTGTTGTCAATTATTTTACGAAATCTTAGAAAATCTAATGATTAATGGTATGATACCAAATGGTGGCCAGAAGTGTTTAGTGCTGTTATGAATAAGTGGCCGAACATGGAGCGCAATCGGCGCTCACTACGTAGGACTTTCAAGACTGCACACTGGTTAAGCTATACGGTCACCCTCCTTAGATCTCTGATTTGGCACCGAGTGATTTTTTTGTCCCCTAAACATAAAAGCAGCTAAAAGAAATCCAGTTTTCAAGCAGTCTTCGAGCAGGCTGTTCAAGATATGTCTGAGGTACGCTGGAAAATGTATTTCAGACGTATGAAACTTAGTATAGATGCCAATAGAGACTTCTTACAAAAGATAAAATAATAAAAACTAAACTAAACTTATTAAACTTTAACCATATCACTATTTTTAGTTTCGTAAAGCTTTCTGAATGACTCGAGTAAACATGTATACGAATTTTTATTTATATTCGGATACAGAGTATATTTCTTGGAATCGGCTTCCATAAAAACGTAATATAAAAGCTGTATAAATTTACGCTAACGTAATCTGAAATCCCACACGTTTGAGTCTTACTAAGAGATCTTTCCTTTGAGATGACACATAAAACAGGTGGTCCAAACACTAAGAAGCTAAAAACAAAACGTTAGAACTTTACGATTATAGCCAGTATTTACCTGTATTGTCGCATCCGTCGGTGTGTGACACGCAGCCCTCGGTTCCTAGCCGCACAACATTACAACACAGTTCATGCAAATGCAATGGAATGACATACTGTATGGGCGGAGGTCGCTACTTCAATACGTTAGGGTTGACACGCAACGAATTGGTGGGAATACGCATTGACAAATTTTAACCTTTATTTACATAATAAAGGAGAATGATATCAATACCACTGTATATTTTTGTATTTATGTGACTCGATATCGAATACGTTAGTTTATTTCGTTTTGCGTGTATACTTTTTTAAATCCATAAGGATTTTAATCATATAATTTGTAGAGATAAGTTAGTTTTTAAATGTTATTTTTTTATAGGAGAGGAGGCAACCGAGCAAACGGATCACCTGATGGTAAGTGACTACCACCGCCCATGAACAACTGCAACACCAAGGGAATTGCAGGTGCGTTGCCGGCCTTTTAAAAAGAAGTAAGCTCTTTTCTTGACAGTCCCTAAGTCGTATCGGTCCGGAAAAATCGCTGGTGGTAAGCTATTCCACAGAGAGGTCGTACGCGGAAGAAAGCTCCTAGCTCCTAGTAAACGTACAGTGGTGGACCGCCAAGCATCCAGATGGTGTGGATGATATCGGGAGTTTTGCAACGATGTGCGTTCGTGAAATTTGGCGGCTGGGATTAATCCGAACAATTCCTCAGAGCACTCCCCGTGGTAAATGCGAAAGAAAATGCAAAGGGATGCAACATCTCTTCGCAGTGCCAATGAATCGAGTCGATCGGAAAGGACTCGCTTGTCGACGATCCGATCCGCTCTGCGCTGGATGCGGTCAAGTGGAAGGAGCTGGCATTAGAGAGCCCAAGCTCAGAGATGGGAACAGTATTCCATGTGAAGCCGAACCTGCGCCTTGTAAAGTTGCAGGCGGTGTGCCGGCATGAAATACTGTCTCGCTCTGTTGAGCACCCCAAGCTTTTTATAGACGAATTTGGCCTTCTCTTCCAAGTGACGACGAAACTGCACGTCACTCGATATGTCGACGCCGAGGATTTCGATACTGCCTGAGGCAACAAGGGGAGTACCTTGAAACTGAGGAGATACGACAATGTGGTTCTTTTTAGCGGTAAACGCGCAAAATTGTGTCTTTTGAGAATTAAACAGTTAAACTGGACTAGATTTAGTCGCTCCCAATCCGAGACTTTGTTCAGCAAAGACTCTACTTCAGACACAAGTTTGTTCCGGTACTCGGCGACGTTTTCCCGCGAAATATTGGCACGACCGGTGTATTGAGCATCAAGAGTGCAGTCATCCGCATAGCAATGAATGTTAACGATTTGCAACACATCATTGATATGCAGAAGAAACAGCGTTGGTTGGTTGATAGCACGCAGCCTTGTGGAACACCAGCGTTAATAGGCTTGTAGTCAAAGCATGCACCGTCTACAACGACCTTGCTGCTCCGATCTGCAAGAAAGCTGGTGATCCAATTGCACAATTTCTCGGGAAGCCCATAAGAGAAGCGCTTTGTGCCAAAACCGAACGAAGGCCTTCGCAATGTCCAAACTAACGGCCAATGCCTCCCCCTTGGACTCTACTGCTTCCGCCCATCTATGAGTCAGGTAGACCAGAAGATCACCAGCTGATCGATGATGTTTATTTACTTTTTCAATTTGGCTTGTGTTAATTAAGAATGAATAACATCATAAACGTCAGAACATGAAAGGTAATTTTGTCAATGCATTTCTCTTATGGACAAGAATTGGCAAATAATATTAAGGGAGTTATAAAACTTTCATATTTCTGCATACTGTTCTTTGTAATCAATTATAATTAAATTGCATATATTTGCTACTACAATAAATATTTCATTTCGCAAACAACTTATTAGTCATTGCTCATTAGGCACGTTTGTGTAGAAGTTGATTCGAAAAAAAATTGAATTTACTGGGAATAATTTTATAACATGCAGTACAAGGGAATGGTTTAACATTTTCTTGGAGTTAATAATTTATTATGAGGGCAGAAGGGTTTTCCATTGTTGATATAATATAGAAAGCAAGGTTACATACCGACTGCAGGTCCAATGATGTTTGAAATAAAAACACGCAATATTAATGAGATAATGAAAAATGATACATAAATCAATTCAACTGATAATATGAACTAAATTATTTTACGTAAACGACAGAATTTTATTTATCTAATAACGCTAAAACACGTAACTAATAAATAATGTTCTTTGTTGTAAATCCTTTTGAAAATGCTAATGTCATAATCGTGAAAAATTCTAACGTAAGTTTAGTAACGTTCCATAAATATAACGCTCGATATTAATACGAGTATCTTTACTTTATGAATAGTTCACATAAATGGCATAATTCATTAATTCTGGCTTTTAGTTCTAGTTTTAGTTTGTGGTTATAGTGATGTAATTATAATTTTTACAATTAAACACATACAATATAATTATGTTAAATTGTAAAAATTATATAAAATTATATAATAGTAAAATGTTGCAATGTTGTATGATGTATTATTAGTATAATAATAGTATAGTATAATTTACAATCCACGACGTTTAAACTTTGTATTTATTGTAAATTCTAAGCTGTGAAATCTTTAATGATAATCTGGACTAAAACCTAAATGAGACACATATTATGAGTGGCATAATAAAATATGCCATTCATGCGAGCCATTCATAAAGTTGGCTTTATATCAACGTAACGAAACAGGACGTTGCATTTGAATATGATTTTATGAAGAATGCGAGACGATTAAGACTTTTTGTAACATTTATATCAACGCGTCTCATAGAATATGGGGCGTATGACCATGTTAGTTATTATTGGTATTCGACGCTTATTAAATATTTTTGTAGCTTTTTATGAATAAAACCGTCACCAAATGATGGAGTTAGAAGTGTGATGAAACATTAATATACGATGAATTTTATCTCTTGCGCAAAATAAAAATATTTGAAATATCTATCACAACATAGAATTTAACTATTAACGCTAAAGGCAAAACACCAATAAATCAATAAGGTATTTAACGATGTTACATAAGCTTGCGAGTATTAACAAGCCATATCTTTTACTTTACGTAGACGTACAAAAGCGTTACGTAGTTATTCATTTCAATAACAAATATATTATAAAGGAATCATGATTTTCTTGGTCTGATTTGATTTGAATCTCACGCTAAGGATGAGGATGGAGGGGGAAGGGTGGTACTTGTCAAAGTAAAAATTACACACACATTCCCTATAAAAAAAAAAAAAACATTTTTCAAATTTCATCACAAACATTCGTTTCAATCAAAAACAACAAGTACTAGGGCGGCATAAGGGCGCAGGAGGTGGAACGTACCTTGGTCGGCGTTGGATCGTTCGGCTGCGGCACACGCGGCGCGCCACTCCTGCAGCTCGGGGCTGGGCACGAGCCCGGCCGACCCGCCCGCCGCGTCCTTGCGCGCCTGCCACCAGTGCGAGTCGTCCTTGCTAATTATCTATCGAATACAGTAAACAAAGTTTAAGAAAGCAAAGTTATAGTCGGGTTTTGAGATGTGATTGATAAATAGACCAACAGTTTACCCGTAGGTAAGCTTACTGTCTACACGGCTTCTGTGAGCCATGGACACCTGCAGCCAACTTTAAAAAAGGGGACTATAAATGCGTTGTCACCTTCGAGGAAGAATATAAAACGCCTCATAATCTTAGAACACATGGATGCTCTGGTGATGTGTAAGATGGCGGTAATTACAACTACTAAACAACCAAGATTATCATTTATTTTATAAAGCGGAGTGTCAAACGAACTTACACGATGGTAAGGGGTTACTGCAGTTCATATGGATATCCGAAGCTAACTTCAAACAAAGAAGGCGACAGATGCGTTGTCACCTGTGAGGACTAAGATGGAATGTGTCATAACCTGTAATTATACCGGCTCTCTTTAACCTCCAGACCAGAACATAGTAGTGCAAGCAGTGCTATATGATGGCAGAAATGGATAAGACAGTGGTACCTACCCAAATTAACTCTGAGGCAGAAAAAGAGTACTACCACCTAGTAAATCTAATACATATTTTAGTTCCAAGGGTATCTAAAAGCTGACAACGATAAATGACAATATTATGCTGGCTACTAGCACACCTGCGGTAGAGTGAATCTAGTGTGATTACTGATTAGGTAATGAGAATCCTAGATTGCTTCCTCGATTGCGATGTGTTTCGGTAATTTCTTGACCTAATCTAGGCTCCAAGGGTTTGGATCATTAATGATCTTTTTTTTTTATAGGATAAGGGTGACAAACGAGCACACAGCCCCCCGATGGTAAGTGGTTGCTACGGCCCATAGACATCTACATTTATCCTCGATTACGAATCAAAATGCAAATGCGTTGTCACCCGTAAGGACTAAGATGGAATGCCTCGTTTCCAGTAAAAAGGGTCTCCGGTTCTCTACACTCACCATACGAAACACAGCAGCATCAAGCCGCTATTTCACGCTGGTATTCTGTGAGAGCGTGGTCCTTCTCCGGTCGAGCCGACCCATTCGTGTTACAACTATACCAGAAATATAGCTGCAGCATGGCTCTACCACGTATACTACGTATACACACTAAAGATCGGCAAAATGTTTTTAAAAACCTTTTCCGCCTCCAGTTCCTGCGTGATACACATGTGGTCGAATATAACTGTGTTTTGTAGCAGCACTACGGCAAAAGCCAGAGCTAATTATTTTGTATTTCGGTGTGAACACAAAATCAAGAGAGGTATTTCACGGCACCTGCAGTCACACATTAATCGCCCTGTACATGTGTATAGAAATTCTAGATACCACCGTCCGATGTGGGCCTGTGATTACCTGGCAATACTCAGACAGGTAACGGGACGAAGTCTCAGACATAAATTCGCCAGTATGTACTTTTTTAACGTATGTAACACAATATCTCCAAAATTAGTTACATTCTAGAGGATTCTATCCTATTGCATATATATTTCAGGTAGTTCAGTTTAATCTTTTAATAATATTATGTCTCTAAAATAAGAGATAACGTACCTGAAGTATGTCGCCGATGTTGAAAGCTATACCAGCTTGAGCGCACGGTATCAAGTCATCTTCTAAAGGATCGTAATCAAATTGTGCTCTTACGAATATCTGAAACATTTTAAATGTTAGGATCTGTTTCTTTTATATCTTGTGTACGGCGTGATGGTTTATGTATAAAATGTGATGAATGATTTTTATTGAAGTGAATCAGAAATTACCAATAGTTTTATCACCTAAATATCTACTCGATATTATATAACTACTGTGTACCAAGCAGCAACAAACAACATATTCGAAAGATAAATTAAGTCAATTACAGCATGCACGAAACGTATGATTACTAATTACGACCATAAGGATAGTATGAATTTGTATACCTTGCAAAAATGTAAACGTTATATAATAATGCAAAAGAAATGAATGTAAAATTCAAAATGAAATAGTGATGAATAATGATGCAATGATAAGAACAACAAGCGCACAGAAACGAAGGACCTCTCGGGGACGCGCAGCCATGCCCGGGTGATGACAGTAAACAACACAACATAACATAAAATTTACGACCAACATAAAACAACATAAAGTAGCGACTGCTCTGGTTCCAGCTACTTACTAGCACGGGCGAAGGCTTTATCCGGAATAGCTAGTTAGGAAGAAAAATAAAAATTTTATTCGACTTTTATTATCACCAATTTCATTTTATGCTTTCAGGACAAGCATTTAGCAGTTGTGTATATTTATGTGCGCTTGTCGACTCTTTATATTGGCTACGCTTTAATTTTTATCGGTCAGTTGTTAGAAGCAAGCGTTATTATCACACTTCTATATCAAACACTCAAATAAACCCATACGTTAATATTTGTTACTATTTATTGTTAGCATTGTCAAAACTGCTTCAATTTAAAGAATTTTGCAATCCAAAAAGTAAGCATTCAGTTAACACACAGCTCTAGGGGATTTCAAATAGGGTATTAAGCAAAAAAAAAAAAGAATAATTTACCTCGCAGGGTGGCGGTGCGGATCGGTACGACGGTACGATCTTAAATGTTACGGAGCCGCGAGCCTCACGCTGAAATGTTTTTAAATTTGTTAGCGTTAACAATTTATTTCATTAGCACAATAAACGTTATACCTAAAATTGATCTAGCGTCTTGTAATTTGAAATATTTATATAGAAACACAAATATTTAAATATAGGTTAGCAAAATTAAAAAAAAAATTACATTATGCTCTACTTTATGTTTATATTCTGTGCCAGCGATGTCTTTCCCCGGTAGAACCAACCCTATCATTCTGCACCAATATGTATTATTGGTGTGGTCAAAATGCATGGCGTTAGAGATACCCTCGTACATTTCCTCCACCTTCTCATCGAGATGTGCCGAGGTTGGTGCGTAAGCCTGTATGACCTTACCAACGTGTCGTATCAATTAATACCGTTTGGTGATTCTGATTATAAGGTACGCAACCCTCGTTAACACACTCAAAATCTTTACTACGTTGTTAACGAAAGATTTGTGGACGATAAATCCAACACTTCTTTGGGACAGATGGTCGCTCTCCCGGTGATAGAACAAGTTGCCAGATTCGAGGACCACTGTGTCCTCCTCCTCTCTTCGGAACACAGATAATCCTACAATATCCCAGCGCAACTTGTCTATCTCTTCTTTCAGCTCCAGGATCTTCTCGTCAGTCCTCAAAGTGCGTGCGTTGCATGTATACCAGGTCGAGTCGTCTTAGGTGGCAATCGAAGAGATTCTTAGCACCTCTTTCCCCGCTGTTACCATGGTTGCACCCGTAGTCAGGAATATCGGGGACGCCGGGAACTGAGGGCCGTCTTTTTGTAACTTTTGTCATGGGGCGTATATTGCCATAGTTTCCCCGCTTGGCGAGCGTATTGGCAACCGTAGTTTTTTAATTGAAATATGCTGTTATCAGAAAGATGATGATGCCCATCTTCTATCTCAGTTTCCCTCTGTCGCCTCTTATGACACCCACGGGAAGATATAGGGTATGGGTATTCATACTGGCTACTACACGGGGAATAGATGGGTGGGCGGGGCACTATACGGGGGGGGGGGGGGGGAGTTTCTATTATATTGAGTTAATTTTACAAGACAAATAAATGCTTATTCGGGTATCGAACCCTATTTCACAATATAACATTAATCAGGTGTGAATTTACGTCGAGCGCTAATCCCCTAAGCAACAACGGATCAAACAAATAATTGAATAATTTTAAATAATAAATACACCGCCAATAGATGGCGGTAATACCATTTCGTAAATACCTTTAGAGCTGCATCAAAGGTGCGAAATATTTCCACAGTGCTCTTATAATGGCAGAAGGCCCATGATCAACAGTAAATTACTACGATCTGATAAATAGGAATAAGGTGCTTCACAGTTTAAATAGCAAAGGGATTTGATGAAAGATAACGCAATGAAACTTACCAACATTCTTTGCAGTTGAGCAACCGACTGATTAGCAACGGGCGTTCCATTGATTTCCTTAATTTCGTCCCCAACGTGCAAGGTGGCCTGCCTATGTATCATACCTCCGTGCATAATCCGCGCCACGATGCACCGACCATCATCGGCGAGCTTCAGCGTTATACCCTGAAATAAACATAACATCGGACGGACCTCGCTTACTCGTGCGTGAAATCCGATCAGCTCAAATTTTTAATTTAAGCAGGGTAAGGAATATTTTTATTTTGTTTGCTTGAATCTTTCTGTAAACAGTTAAAATTTGATATAATATGAATACATAAATACTTTGAAAAATTACGATACAAGGTGAACATTAGGGATACACGATTCGATAGACAAACCTCATAATTGTGAGTAAATTTCGCGGACAGGGAAACTGTTAAATAAGGAATTTCTTTTACCACTAACATAACTAAACTGCATTAGTAATAGAGATAAGATAGACGCCTAGTAAGATATGGTAATTCAAAACTTATAGCAAGGGTGTTTGGGCTTTTGTTAAGGTGACACTAGTCGACAATATTTCCATACAAAATTCGGAGGGGTTTTACTACGCTGTTTGACAGTGTACATCCAAAGTTAAACATGATATCGTTTTGTCTCATTATTAAATTTGTCTGTACGGAAACAGAATAGTAAAATAAAATGTTATTAAAAAGTTACGGGCTACCAAAGATTCGTTTTTATTGCCAATTTTAACACAACTTTGGGCGTAAATTAGTAATAAAATAAGTGTAAAATTTCCAAAACGAAGTCGGTACCGACACAGCTCAATTATCGAAGAATTCAATAAATTTTATTCGTAATTGATTTATGCAGTGGTTTTTTCATAAAACCCCTTCTTCCAAAGGCCTTTTCGTATTTTTTTACGCGCGTATGTTACTATGAATTATCGTGCATCTCACTGAATAATGTTTCCCCCGGTGCGGTGCGGGAGGACGACGCTTACACACACATGCACGGGCGGTGACGCGCGTTTATTCGAGTTTTATTCGAAACGAAAAGTTTTGCTATTTTGTAATTTGGACGCCAAAGACAAAAGACAGCATGGAAATTGATATAATTGAAAGAGATGAATGATGCGTTTTGGACGACAGACAATATTGTAATATAATATAATTATAAAAGTAAAAAAAGTAAAGTCTATATACGATTACTATATAAAATTGCAACAATTTCATTGGTGCCGACGGGGATCGAACCCGGGTTGCTCGCGTAATGTGATACTTACGGCGAGCGCTAACCATCTGAGCTACTACGGCTCACAATGCAAGTGTTATAAATAAATAAAGAATTACAAAACAGTTTAATTATTTATTAGACGACTCTTGCGGCGGACAAACAAGGTACATTATGTGGGATTTTCATAGGTACCTACTGTTATTACCTAGATACCTACAACCTACAATACAACAAAATGTCACAAAACGTCACCGCGTCGTGGCCACAAAATTGTAAACTTTAGGTAGGTACGTCAGTACTAAGAAAACAATCTTGATGGGTCACTTGTCTTGATAAAAACCTGTGTTTACATTTAGTGATATTGAGTATATATAAAAAAGTAAGAAGACAGGGAAGTATTTTTGAAAACAATTTATAGGTAGGCAGAACTAATTACAATTACCTATTATCTAAATATTATAAATGCGAAAGTTTGGATATTTGGATGGACGGATGAATGGATGTATGTTACTCAATCACACCAGAACCGCTGAAGGGACCTGGATGATATTTTGCTCAGAGATAGGTTATAGTCTGAATTTTATTATTTTTTTATTTTTTAAAAAAGTTGTAAAGATTGGGAGTGTGTCGACGAGGGTTGCGTACCTTATACTCAGAATCACCAAACGGTATTCGCCGAAGGTCATACGCACCAACCTCGGCACACCCCGATGAGGAGTTGGAGGAAATGTATGAGGATATTCCACACTAGGATTTTCTCCTGTATCGTGGAGGCAGTTTACAAACATCCAGACCCGGAACAACTATTTGCAGGCCATACAAATACTTGTTCCGTGCGGGATTCGAACCCGCGGCTGCCAGTGCAACAATTCATTGCTAAGCAACTGCGCCACGGAGCTGTAAATAACATATATGATACCGTTTATTCAGGTATTTCGTTCCCGTTGGATAATTTTTGCAGTTATACACGTTCGAAGCCGAACTCTTGAGTGATCGCTGCATGACCACTCGGGAAAAACTAAACATAATAAAGTAAGCAATCTATATTAGGTATATAGAGCCACAGAGGTATAATATGAAGCGATAAAGCAGCGCCTAATAATTTCGCGGTTTCACCCGCGTCATCACGTGTCCGAGATGCGTGGCATGACATGACACCTAGTTCAAGCATTTTATAATTGCAATCAAATATATTATTTGATAATAATGTATGGAAAAATTGTCATAATTAATGGAGTACTTTTATTTTATCTGTCGGCATACTATGTGCGGTTTTATCCAGTTTTAAAGAAAAACGTACACGATACATGAAAGTGTGTAGGCAAGAAATGATTCTTGATAAATTTGCTATCAACCTCTTATACTTATTAATCAATTAAACTTTCAAAATACCATAGCAACGTGAAATGAAAGAGTTCAGAAATAAAGATGTAACTAATCATTGTTACAATCACCTGGGAGATAGATAAAAGCACTCAGTTAATTTTGAATTTATTTTAGCTACCAGCTGTTCCCCGCGACTTCGTCCGCATTTAGTTTAGGGTGTTAATTTTGTTGCACGGACACCTAATAATTTTTCTAAAATTTAAGCAGTCTAAGTTACTTCTTATAACATGAGCTATCTACTAGTGAAAGTCCCGTCAAAATCGGTCCAGCCGTTTTGGAAATTAACCGGAACAAACAGACTGACAGACATACAAAAATGTTAAAAATTATGGTAATGTTATAAGTAGCGTATATAATTTCATATGCAATTAGTAAAAAGCTGTTATTTTGACATTACAAACAGACACTTCAATTTTATTTATTTGTGTAGATATAGATAATGATTGAATTAACGGCTAACCTAACCTCGCTCATAGAAGCTTTCAATACTGGCTTCTCAGTTCGCACCGGGCTAGGCTAGGGGTTATGCGTTGTTTGCGCGTCAAGTCGAAGTATTGAATTATTTTAATTTTACATTATCTCTTAACCTATGTACTATATAAACATGGTATAAAGAACGAACTTTATCTTCAAAAAATTGTCTTGATAATGAAGTAACTTTCGTTCGTAAGGATAAATATGTCATGCCTAATAATTAAAATTTCATTTTTTTTTGTCAAAATCAAAATGCCTAATTGTGGCTTATATATAAAAAATAGACATATGGTATCGCGGACTTTTTTTAGACGGAGTAAAGATCTATATTTTCTGCTTTATTATATTAGTATAGATGTTGCATCGTGTTCGTGTAACTTCGTTTTTGTTCAAACGGTTCTGAATGCCGTACGAACAAGACATGCGTGAATACTAGTGTCGATATGCTCATCACTGATACTATCTCTGTCGGGCACGATGCCAGGTGAGACAGCGTGCTTTTTCGCCGCGCCCACCAGCGAGTTCGAGCCCGCGACTTGTGCCACCTTAAGCTAAGACAGTGCGCGTTTCAATTTAAAACTAAATCACCACTAACCAGACAGATAAAATGGTGTCTGCCTGGCTTATGATAAATAAAAAAAATCGCATTGGCGGCAGTTTAAAGCGTTGATAATATATTGAAATCAATAGACGTTACTTGAATTCCTTTGCTAAGTAGCATAATTTTATAATTTATGTTTAAATATAATAAATTTGAATAATGAGCGACAGTATGAGTATGATTTGAATAATGGCGGGGTGCGGACCGCGGACTCATAAGGTCGTGGGTACGAATTCATTATTCGACTATTGTCGTGAACCACTCCTAACACATGCATTTTAAGCTTACCAGGAGTGGTTAATGGAAATATTAGTAATGTTAAGAGCATAGCTAGTATTTAAAAATATATATAATGACGGTCGTAGGAATAAAGAATATGTCGTAGTTTTATGTTACAACTTCGATTAGTGGTAACCATTATTACTGATAGAATTGTGTAAAGGCCTTACAGTAGTAGTGCGTAATACAAAACGGCTTACATTTTATCGGTTCTCAAATTAGACCTTCACCAGTGTTAGCTGCGTATGTGGATTCATCAACCCATCTTGTCCCGAAGGTGTTGTAAAAGTCGATTAAAGGTAATGCCAAAAAAATCTCACATCCCCCGTCAGGCGGATTATATAACCTTTTCCAATATACGATACAACAACCAATAGCGAACTTAGGAATTAGAGCAAATCCGGCTAGCGAACTTAGAAGCTTAGAACAGTATTATTCCCACTCGTAGCTGTAGACTGATTACAGCCTAGTGGTGACCGAAATCTGATTAGAAATAAAGTCAGCTAGACACAGTTATATATATATATATATATATATATATATATATATATATATAGACTAGTTTGATACTAGTCGCTGGGCTGTTTCGAAGTTTGATTTTTCTTCTTCATCTAAATCATGTGGTTGGACAGGCTAAGGTTTTAGACCATAATATAGAGCTCAGTCTTTCGAAGTTTTTATTTATAAAATATTAAGATTTAGGGGTCAATTTTTAAGTTTGTCGGGGTGCTAATTACGAAAATAGCATTTATTTTTAAATCCAAGATGGCGGTCATTTTTTAATATATGTATGATATGGATGTCAATTTCAAGGTTTATTGGGGTGCTGATTACGAAAATGGAATTCATTTTTAAATCCTAGATGGTGGACATAATTTTTTTTAATGTTATGGATGTCAATTTCGAGGTTTCTTGTGGTGCTGATTACGAAAATGGAATTCATTTTTAAATCCAAGATGGTGGACGTAATTTTTTGTAATGTTATGGATGTCAATTTCGAGGTTTCTTGAGGTGCCAATTACGAAAACGGCATCAATTTTCATATCCAAGATGGTGGATTTTTTTTAATAATACAATATGGATATTAATTTTAAGGTTTCTGGGGGTAGATAATTATGAAAATTTATTAATAAGTATGGTATTTAAAAATTTCAGATGCAAATTATGGATGGAAGTTATTGGAAGACCTGGTTTAGTTGGAAGAACTTTCGAAAGACTAAAGAATCAATTATAAAATAAACTAATAATTCAATGTCTGTAGTCATTGTAACGTTAATAATAATATGGATTTGATGTCTAGCTAAGAGTATAAGAACGATTTTATGTAGCGAAATTGAGGTATGGCCACATATCGAGAGTAGAGCACTCAATCACGTTGTAAGGCGTGCATTTAACGTTTTGAGTACTTTTAGGAAAAATCTAAGAACAAATTGTTACTTATTTTTTATATTAGTAATCATACTGTTCATGACGATGTAGATCTAAAATAAATAATTAAATTAGAAAAAGTTGTTAATTTGTGACAACCCTAACCTCCATACGCTGTCTAGACGTTGTTGGCATTTACCACGAGATCAAAGGCGTATGTTTATTATGCTGTGGTACCTACGGTAATCCTAAAAAATGGTTTGTAATATTTATTTTGTGTTTTGTATGTAAGGTAAAAAAATAAAGTCAGTCTCAGATAAACTACGATCTTTCATTAAGTATCTCAAATCTTGCATTATTATGTCAGCAATCGTCTCACCATCGGCTCGTCGGTGTTTTTCTGGAATTGCACGAGGCGCACCCTGGTCACGTTTTCGAACTCGGGCTCGGTGTCTTCGTCTTCATCGGCGGGCGGCTGAGGCGCGCGGCCGTTGACTGGCGGCGGCGACGCGCGCATCGACTCCTCGCCGTACACCTCGCGCGCCACCACATCGTGCGCTTGCAGCAAGGCCTGCAACAATACATATACGCTGTCATTAGTTTTGATAGAAATTAAAAGTAACAGAAAATTTATCAATGTAATGTTACATTTTATGACAACTTTGAGTATAGTTATTATGAATAATATTTAAATTATTGAAAAGCGAGACTGAATAATGCTTTACAAGTAGTAAAGCCACGAATATTATATTAATAATCAAGCCTGGCTAAAGGCAAAGGTTTTGACGATTTTGCGGCGCTACGATGAGATACATTAAATTTTAGTTCGCATAACGGCAAATAAAACCTTCTAAAAGGATTTTCGGCTTCACTGTAAAATATTTTAAATTACGTCATGAAGGGTATGAGTGTGCCCCGCACACTCCTCCAGTTTCTTACCAAATAACACTATAGTATCATTTGGGATTTAAGCTAGTTCCTTCTACGTACTTTTTTATTCGATTCAAATCACAATATGTGTATCTATGAAATCAGTCAGCCATACTTGCTATATGTATATTTGAAATTATCGTTGACCTAATGGTGGTAATCCCCCATACCTTCGGAAAAATGTAAAGGCGATGTTCCTGCTCATAATCTCACTTCGGTCATGTCGGATTGCCGTCTTATCGGCCTATTAGTGTTGTAGTGTTATGCTACTTACATATCATTTTACATTATTTTAAATTCATTTTTTACATTCTGTTTTGATTTTCTGCATTCACCTCAAAACTGGATATTTTACAAAAAAAAAGATAATAAAAAAAAAGATTAGTGTTGAAGTTGAGCCCAAAGATCCAAGGTGTACAGTAAGTGTTCTCAGCGCCTGGAACGAGCACGCACAGCGTAGGTGAGAAGGCGTGGACGTGTCTAGGCGACGACTTCGGAGCGAGCACGCACAGCGTAGGTGAAGGTGTGGGCGTCTCTAGGCGACGACCTCAGGTGAATGCGGAGGTTTGCAAGATCCGGCGACTTCAGGCAAGACAGGGGCTTGTAGGATCTTCAGCGACTTCAGGCAGGACAGAGGCCTGCAGGTTCCGGCGACTTCAGGCGGGACAGAGGCTTGCAGGATCGTCCCCGGATCTTGCAAACCTCCGCATTCACCTGAGGTCGTCGCCTAGAGACGCCCACACCTTCACCTACGCTGTGCGTGCTCGCTCCGAAGTCGTCGCCTAGACACGCCCACGCCTTCTCACCTACGCTGTGCGTGCTCGTTCCAGGCGCTGAGAGCACTTAATGTACACCTTGGATCTTCGGGCTCAACTTCAACACTAATCTTTTTTTTTATTATCTTTTTTTTAAAAATAATTGTAAATCACGACCTCCATCCTCATCTTCATACTCCATTTTGTTATATAAAATTGAAAATATCTTTTAAATTTTAAATATATCATTTGTTTTTGTTCTATTTTTGTTGTTTTGTTGCTGTTAGGTTAGATTCTTTTGTATTTAATTGTCGCTTCACGACATTTTTTTTTACGGAAAACTAAATAAAAGATCGAAAAAGGTAGACTCCATTGACACCAATTTAAAAGTGCTGATAGTGTGAAAATACGAAGTAAAAATGATTTGTTATTGTGTTCTTATGGTTTAAAATCGTTACAGGATCCTATGGAAATAAAGGTGATGTAAAATATCCAGTTTTGAGGTGAATGCAGAAAATCGAAACAGAATGGAAAAATGAATTTAAAATAATGTAAAATGATATGTAAGTAGCATAACACTACAGTGTGACGGAAAAGCGAGTGTACCTGTTTTTGTGCACATACTCGTGCACTATAATCCTGTCATGCGCAGATGGCTAGTCTCCGTAAAAATGACCGGTGTGAACGGAATTTGGTTTGGATGACATTATATGATTTAGCTTAAGCCTAAGGCTAAGTAAGTTCGTACAATAAAGTATAAGTGATATTTTTTTTATAGAATCACACAGTCCACATGACGTAAGTGGATGCTGTGGCTCATAGACATCTACATTTATCCTCGATTAAGAATTCAAATGCAAAATGCGATTTCACCACAGGACTGAGATGGAATGCTTCGTTTCCGGTAAAAAGGATCTCCGGTTCTTTACACTCACCATACGAATTACAGCAGCATTGAGCTGCTATTTTACGCTGGTATTCTGTGAGAGCGTGGTCCTATTCCGGTCAAGCGGACCCATTCGTGCTACAACTATAATAATATAATTTTTTTTTGCTGCAGCTGCAGCGTGGCTCTATCACGTATTAAGATATTTGTTAAAATTAATCTTTTAAATGTTCGTTAGATAGATCTTCTGCTGTTATACACAATACAAAATTATATTTGTCGACTGAGTTATTTATTTATAATACGCTTTGTGGTTTCGACGTTAGCATGGAGAAATATTAGCATTATTCATCACGCGAATATTCCTCTATGCACTTCAATAAACCGCAGACTGTAACATCCGTAGCTTGTAGTGAACACTCTTTATAGGCGAAAGCCGACGACAAATTTGCAGTGCAATTATCAATAGGTATCAGATAGTTATTAGGTGTGAAATGATTATGTATTAGAGTTAAATTTGGAAAATTAAAAAGATTTGATAATAAAGCATGACAGTAAATTATGCAAAAAGGATCCACGATAGGGTAAATTAGTTATTCGTGTTAATATAATTTTTACGGTATCAATGTTATATACCTACTTATAATATTATACTTTAATATAGTAGAAACAAGTACTTCAACTCGGAACAACTACGCTACAGCTATATTATCTGTAGCATGAGTTAGTTTCGCCGCGGTTAGGCTACGCTCTCGCAGCACAAAAAGCAACATAATTCTGCTGTATTTTGTATTGTTAACGACGAGAACCTGAGATCCTTTTAACGCTAACAAGACATTTATTTTTACCTTCAGTGATGACAACGCATCGGCATTTTGATTTTTAATCGAGCATTAATGGGTCTATGGGTTACTGCACCCACTTGCCATCAGGTGGACTGTGTGATTGTTTGTCATCCTTATTTAAAAAAAGTAAGTATTTTGCATACTGAATGCCGATCCAAACTTCAAACGTAACTATAATTCGTAACTAGGTAGGCACATGCAGTCCAAGGCATAGTCACATTATTTTCATTAAATAGCAAAACTACATAATGATACTTAAAATACTAACTAAAACTAGAAATTGCATATTTTACTAGCGTGGTAGAAACATTTTGGATTGGCTGTGCGATTTTAAATTAAGTGCAATTCAACAAAATGCAATCGGATTTAACGTTACGAGTCTTATTTGTGGACCGTAACACTCGAGATACTTACCGGCGGCGTTACGTCGCGGTTTTCGGTACAAAACGAGGTGCTTGCCCAATATTCATTAAAATTAAGGCATTTCAATCTGAGCTTGCAAACTAAATTTGCTGTACTTGTCGGACAATTTACAATTACGTTTGAAATCCTATTAAATTATCAAAACACCTAAAAAAATACGTTCGAGATCGTTTTTTTTTAATTAAACTGCTTTTAAATAAGCAATAAGAAAAAATAGTGCGATAGGACCGCCCTTTGTACTTATGAAATGAAATAAAACATCTTTATTTCTTCGACGCTATATAATAAATTTCGTTAGTCATATAATTATTAGATAGATTTTTTTTAAAACCTACTAAATCTACTACCTTTTCGAAATGAGGCTTATCTTGCCGGAGAAGAAACTGCAAAAGAAACTTCGCAGGTATCCTTTTTTTTTTTTAATTACACGCCAGAAATAAGCTTGAAAAGAATCATACGACCACCAGTTTTGTAGATACGTCACCTGGATTATATTGCCATAATTACATATTATTGCATTTATGTTTACGGCCTATAATTATCCTAATCTAAATGTAACTCCTGTGTTTTAATTAGATGCTACTGCCGTAGTTTTGACGATATCGTGATCGCCATTGTTATATTTATGAGGTTAATGTGTGTTGATGCAATGAGGTTAATGTTTTAATAAAATACAAGTTGCGAGTACCTATCTCATTCATCCTTCACACTGACAGCTGAGTGAGTGCACTTCGCAAAGGGACGGCAGAAGCATAAAAGTACATGGATGATGAATTGAGGCAATTCTGTCTTGACCACGCCAATAATTTCAGGGTATTCAAGTTAAGATACCTAATACTTTCTGTAAGATTTATCAAATATAATACGAATAAATATTATTTTGTATTTATAATAATTAAGTTCTAAAGGCCGTATCTAAAAAGAGTGAGTTTAAAGGTATATCTTGTACATATGGCGACTTTAAGAAAGGTTTTTTAAGAGATATGATATATTTACAACATTGTACATAGTGGATAAATAAGCCCACGGAAACCTGAAACCAAATTCAAGCAAAGATGGCAATAGACGCTTTGTCAATTATCACCCCAGAAGACTTTTTTAAATAAGCACTCTGTAGTGTGTTGCATTTTTGAGGGTGTTGACAATAAATAATTTGGTAACCTTGAGGTTTAAATCCTAAAATAGTATTCAGTTGTTTAATGTTGACTTAATGCAGTGTGACGTCTTCCACACAGTTTTATATCATAAATGTCACACAAGTTACGTATTTGGCGGGTTACGCTTTTTATTTCATTGGTGTTTTTTTTTAATAAGATTCACAAACGAGCACACAGTCCATCTAATAGTAAGTGTATGCTGTGGCACATAGACTTCTACTTTTATCCTCCATTAAATGCAAAATACACATGCGTTGTCACCCGGGAGGACTACGAAGGAATGCCTCATTTCCAGTAAAAATGGGCTCCAGTTATCTACACTCACCACACGAAACACAGCAGCATTAAGCTGCTATTGTACACTGGTATTCTGTGAGAGCGAGTTCCTACCCCGGTCGAGCCGACCCATTCATTCTTCAACCATAGCAGCTGCCGGGTAGCTCTAACACGTAAAGGGGTGGTATAACGAGATTATACATTTATCTAATTATAACGTTTTCCTAACCTAAAAAATCACATAACCAATTAATTCAAAAAAGTGCAACTTTTTTTTTTCATGAGCAAATCGAATTATTGGTACTTTATGAAATAAACAAAATATAGAAGTTCATTCGAGATGAGTTTTCCAAATGCGTAGAAACATTCTTCGCAATATGAAAAATGCCAGACGTATTTCATTCGATACAAAAAACTATTCATCAAAATCGCTTCGCTTCCGCAAACTATTATGAGCGTTCATGGAGCGTTCACTTGATATAGGGTACATGTTGTGTATGTCGAAAACGGCGCGCTTTCGCTATGATAAAAACAATGACGTCCATCATAGTACCAGCACGAGCAAAAAGTACTTTTCGAAGGAGACGGTGCCAGCTGCCAGATGTCGGCGTTATGTGAATGAAAAGCAATATATTTTAATGGAAAGAATTCATATTCAATATTACTAATCGGGAGTGGTTTACAATCGGTCTTTCCCAAGTTTGGATGAGTCATAAATCACCACACATTACCAGCGAATTGACCCGAACGCCGAAACAAATACGGATATATAGTTTTGGCAATTTTCGACATGGCTGACTTTTATGAGAATTTTGGGCCGGAAAATGATAATTGATTTTTCTTTTATACTGCCACACTGGCAATTCAGAATGAGTTTTTTTTTTGGTCCTTAAAATACACCTACAGATTATTAAATTATTACTACGTAGTAAGGCTTCTTTTCTGTCTGGGAGTCCGTTTGAGCAGGCCCCACCTCTCTTGCCTATTTATGCCGCCAAATAGCAGTGCTTGCATGGCCGTGTTCCGGTGTGAAGGGTATAGAGAGTCAGTTACTTCCAGGCTGTGAGCCAATCCAGCTTAGTACTCAAGGGTGAAAACGCATCTGTGGATCATAGACATCTACGTTTATCCTCTATTAAGAATCAAAATGCAGACGCGTTGTCACCCGTGCGGACTAAGATGGAATGTCCAGTAAAAATGGTCTCCGGTTCTCTACACTCACCATTATATGAAGTTCGCTGCTGGTGTACATTGACTGCAGGCTACTGCTACTCACCATCAGGTGGATTGTATGTTCACTTTTCACTTTTGTTTTATATCTCTATTAATAAATATCAATTGCAAGTCCGCTAGTCTCGCTAAAACTCAAAAACGGCTCAACCGATTTTGATGAAATTTTTTTGAGTTTCTTTAAATTTAATCTTTTAGGTCCGATACAACCTTGGAGGTGTCTATTGACTGCAGTAGCCACTTACCATCAGGTGGATTGTATGTTCACTTTTCACTTTTATTTTATATCTCTATACTTATACTCAATTGCAAGTCCGTCAGTCTCACTAAAACTCAAAAACGGCTCAACCGATTTTGATGATTTTTTTTGTGTTTCTTTAAATTTAATCTTTTAGGTCCAATACAACCTTGGAGGTGTCTATTGACTGCAGTAGCCACTTACCATAAGGTGGATTGTATGTTCACTTTTCACTTTTGTTTTATATCTCTATTAATAAATATCAATTGCAAGTCCGTCAGTCTCGCTAAAACTCAAAAACGGCTCAACCGATTTTGATGATTTTTTTTGTGTTTCTTTAAATTTAATCTTTTAGGTCCAATACAACCTTGGAGGTGTCTATTGACTGCAGTAACCACTTACCATCAGGTGGATTGTATGTTCACTTTTCACTTTTGTTTTATATCTCTATTAATAAATATCAATTGCAAGTCCGTCAGTCTCGCTAAAACTCAAAAACGGCTCAACCGATTTTGATGATTTTTTTTTGTGTTTCTTTAAATTTAATCTTTTAGGTCCAATACAACCTTGGAGGTGTCTATTGACTGCAGTAGCCACTTACCATCAGGTGGATTGTATGTTCACTTTTCACTTTTGTTTTATATCTCTATTAATAAATATCAATTGCAAGTCCGTCAGTCTCGCTAAAACTCAAAAACGGCTCAACCGATTTTGATGACTTTTTTTGTGTTTCTTTAAATTTAATCTTTTAGGTCCGATACAACCTTGGAGGTGTCTATTGACTGCAGTAGCCACTTATAATCAGGTGTATTGTATGTTCACTTTTCACTTTTATTTTATATCTCTATACTTATACTCAATTGCAAGTCCGTCAGTCTCGCTAAAACTCAAAAACGGCTCAACCGATTTTGATGATTTTTTTTTGTTTCTTTAAATTTAATCTTTTAGGTCCGATACAACCTTGGAGGTGTCTATTGACTGCAGTAGCCACTTACCATTAGGTGGATTGTATGTTCACTTTTCACTTTTGTTTTTATATCTCTATTAATAAATATCAATTGCAAGTCCGTTAGTTTCGCTAAAACTAAAAAAACGGCTAAACCGATTTTGATGAGTTTTTTGTTTGTTTGAATAGGTCCCTAGATGGTTTAGATTCACATTTGGACCCGGTAGGTGGCGCTGTTGTCGAGATCCAGAAATCACCCAAGCGAGGCTGGGGCGGATCGCTAGTATACAATAAACATTAGTCTTGCTGCCAATAAAAGTAAAAAAAATATGGAAAGGATTAATTTGGCATATCACTAAAACAAGGTCTAATAACTATGTTGGCAGAGGTTCATAATGTTAATAATATTAATTCAGACTATTTGTTCAGCGGAGAAACGTCGGACTCGGACTCGGATGTCATTTGTATGTGTTTTCCGTCTGGTGACATAGTCGTATACCTACCTACCCTACATATTACATCTTTCCGGTTCCAAATATATCATAGACAAATAAGACAATTTGTAATAATAGTTAGTAATTCCGTCTTTTTTCCAATATTATTAGAGTCAATATTATTATATAAGGTAAGGAGAACAATACACACACAAAATATATAGCTCTAATTGAAATGTTAACTTTTTTTTTATTAAATAGGTTATAATTCAGGATACTTCAGGTGGTACCATACAAAATTTAGAAAGACGATATTCCATTTGTTACCTTGATTTTGTGACATAATTTAGTCCACTCAAAAGGGACAAAAATTAAATTTAATAAAAGAAGTCCACTTCACTAAAAATAATTTCTATGGTCGGTGTTTAAATTCTTCTAAACACTATGCCTTAGTACTGACATGTAAATGTTGTATGGAAATTATTTTAATCATTTTAGTTTTTACATTAAAAGTTAAAGTTACAGGCTTTATACGTCTCGCAGCTTGGCACAGGCCTTCTCACATTTCTGAGAGGGTTTTATAGCAATGAAGTGCTCCAATGCGTGTTGGAAAACTTCACAAATCTTCGAAAATTTTTTCTTATTTCTGAGACATGTAGGTTTCCTCGTGATATTTTCCTTCTTCGTCGAGCACGTGTTTGTGCGTTGTGTGTGTGCAATGTTATTTGCTGATTTAGCAAATAAAATTGCATTTAACAATTTCATTGGTGCCGGCGGGAATCGAT